TCATATCTTATTTCATAAATGCTGCCTTCTTGCTGTTTTCTCACATGATAAAAAGAAGCTAGCTAATTTTCTATTTTATAAAGGCATTTATACACACCATGAGGTCTCTGCCCTTGTGATATACATACTTTTCAGAGAGCCTCATCTCCTAGGAAGATAATTTGGTGATTATTATTTCACCATAGGAATTTGAAGAAGTTGTAAATTTTCAGATTATAATAAGAAATGATATAGTGATGCCAGCACTGTGGCATCCTGCAAGGGTGGTGGTTCAAGTCCCGGCTGCTCCACTTCTGGCCCATCTCTCTCTTATGGCCTGGAATGCAATGGAGGATGCCCCAAGTCCTTGGACCCCTGCACCTGCGTGGGAGACCCAGAGGAAGCTACTGGCTCCTGACTTCGGATCAGCAAAGCTCTGACCATTGTGGCCATCTGGAGAGTGAACCAGCAGATGGAAGACTTCTCTCTCTTTCTCTCTTTCTCTCTCTGCCTCTGCCTCTCTGTAACTCTGCTTTTCAAATAAATAAATAAATCTTTAAAAAATCCATTGTAATGCATAAACTGTACCGTGGAAATTTATATTTACTAAATAAAAGTTAAAAAAAAAAAACAAAAAAAGAAATATTAACAATTTGGACAACACTATTAAAGAAATTGCTGTTGCTGTAACAAATTGTTAACATGATAGCAATGCAATAATGTTAAGAAGATCATTTTTATAAGGTGTAGAGATGCCTGTACAAGATTCAGAAGGAGAAATTGAAAAGGAAGTTAAAATGGAAATACTTGAAAGTGTAATAATGTAACTTTTTGATAATTGAAGGAAAAATAACTTATGTTGTTATACTCACATTTCACCTGTGCAAAATAAAATATCTTTGTATTTAGCCCCCCCAAAAAAATAAAAAGAATGATATAATTGGCTTCAATTTTAAAAAAAATTATATGAAAATCATATTAATACTATTTTAAAAGAAATTATATTGTGGAGAAAGTAAGATTAATAGCTGATAAAAACAGACTATTACAATACAATCTTTGACAATATTACTTAGATTATGTGATGTAGTGTGTGATATTGTTACGAGTGAAATGCAGAGAAAGATGACCTCTTTTCTTTGTCTCACATGAAAGAAGAATTTCCATGGGGACAAGGCAGAGAGATAGAGATTGATTTAATTCAGAAGCCTTCTGCTACGGTGACCAGGAGGGGAGCTCCAAGAGAGGCAGACCCCCTGAACTGTGAGGGTCTGAGTCTTTGAAGCACAGTTTTTGGAGGGGGAAAACAGAACAGTAGCTAAAAGCAGTTATAAGGCACGGATAAAATCCATCACAAGTCCAGGCTTGTATTCTTGCCTGTCCTGTATAGCTTGCTAATGATAAGACAAAAAAAGAAAAATTAGAAGAGTGGGATTGGTGACTTCTGTTTTTCACAGTAAACTAGAAACTCAGAAGGGTTGAATCACCACTCCCTTGCCATTCTTATGATAAGAGCAGAAGCACCCAAGGAGTGGAACAGGCACCAGAACAGGCACTGTGCTCTTGATAAAGATAACTTTTGGAGGAAGGAAGCATTTTGCACCTTTTTAGAGGGGCTCCCCTTTCCTCATTTTCCGCTGGGACCAACCTACCTGCTGATTGACCCATCTGACTCCTCACAAAATCTTGATCTAAATGAAAGCATAATATTATATTGCGTGTATTGGGTCACATTACGGGCTCCTTTTCTCACAGGACTGATGAGACTGTGTTCCTACTCGGCAGTATACAACCACCACTGCAAACTTAGGCCAGCCTATGGACACTCCAATTTTTGGAAACTCTAACTTGGTTGCCTAAGGAGTGCCACATGGGTTATTAGCCCAGCAGGCTTGTAGGAAAGACTACACTTGCAAGCTCTGCTTGTCAGTTCTCACAACAAGTTTAAAATCCAAGGAATGAACTTAATTTCCTCACTCTTAATCAAGTGGAAGACATCTGACTCCATGCAGCACTGTTTGGAGTTGGAAGGAGGTGACATGAGAATTTCCTTCTTGCCTTCTTTAATGCATCTTTTCTCATTATTATGCTAAAAGAAGACATTGTTATCTCTTGCCTGCCTTTCTTTTTTTTTTAACTTTTATTTAATGAATATAAATTTCCAAAGTACTGCTTATGGATTACAATGGCTTCCCCCCCATAACGTCTCTCCAACCCGCATCCCTCCCCTTTCCCACTCCCTCTCCCCTTCCATTCACATCAAGATTCATTTTCATTTCTCTTTATATACAGAAGATCAGTTTAGCATACATTAAGTAAAGATTTCAACAGTTTGCTACCACACATACATAAAGTGAAAAATAATAGATGATTTTTTAAATGATGATGAAATCAGATCAGACCTATTGTCATGTTTAATCCCAGTGAGAGTCAAGTTGGGAATTGATAATTTCTTCTTCTTTTTTTTTTTTACAGAAGATCAGTTTAGTATACATTAAGTAGAGATTTCAACAGTTTGCACCCCCATATAAACACAAAGAGAAATATACTGTTTGAATACTCATTATAGAATTAAGTCTCAATGTACAGCACATTAAGGACAGAGACCCTACATGAGGAGTAAGTGCACAGTGACTCCTGTTGTTGACTTTACAAATTGACACTCCTGTTTATGGCATCAGTAATCTCCCTATGCACCAGTCATGAGTTTCCAAGGCTATGGAAGCCTTTTGAGTTCACCGACTCTTATCTTGTTTAGACAAGGTCATATTCAAAGTGGAGGTTCTCTCCTCCCTTCAGAGAAAGGTACCTCCTTCTTTGAAGACCTGTTCTTTCCACTGGGATCTCACTCACAGAGATCTTTCATTTAGGGTTTGGTTTTTTGTGTGTGTGTGTGTGTGTGTGTGTTTTTTTGTTTGTTTGTTTGTTTGTTTGTTTTGCCAGAGTGTCTTGGCTTTCCATGCCTGAAATACTCTCATGGGCTTTTCAGCCAGATCGGAATGCCTTTAAGGCTGATTCTGAGGCCAGAGTGCTGTTTAGGACATCCGCCATTCTATGAGTCTGCTGAGTATCTCACTTCCCATGTTGGATCACTCTCCCCTTTATTTATTCTATCAGTTAGTATTAGCAGGTACTAGACTTGTTTATGTGCTTCCTTTGACTCTTAGTCCTTTCATTATGATCAATTGTGAACTGAAGTTGATCACTTGGACTAGTGAGATGGCATTGGTACATGCCACCTTGATGGGATTGAATTGGAGTCCCCTGGTATGTTTCTAACTCTACCATTTGGGGCAAGTCAGCTTGCCTGCCTTTCTTAACTATTGTAAAAATGATTTGGTGTTTGAATAGCTGTTCAAATTTGTGTCCCTGTAGGGAAGACAATTGCTGGAAAGTTTCCATCGGCTACCATCTTATTTTGGCTCCTGTGATATAATTTTCTTATTTACATTCATATTTGTTGAAAAGAAAACAAGTAAGGATTTAAAAATAAGAAATAATGCATAATAGTTGTGCTCTGTAACATCATCATGATGCCAATTTTTTTTCTGAATTTTGCTTTAGATTTACACTATTGAACGAAAATTAGTTCACCTAGCTAAAGATTAAATTCACAGTTTTAACTTGGTAGTGATTAGAGGATAAAATTCATCCTGAATAGTAAAGAACAAGTTTATCAAGAAGGGATTAATATGTTTTTATATAAGTGGGGTTTTTTGGATTTTTATTTATTTATTTGAAAGGCAGCTTTACAGAGAGGCAGAGGCAGAGAGAGAGAGAGAGGGGTCTTCTACCTCCTGGATCACTCCTCAGAGGGCTGCAACAGCCAGAGCTGCACGGATCCGAAGCCAGGAGCCTGGAGATTCTTCCAGTTCTCCCACATGGGTGCAGAGTCCCAAGGACTTGGGCTATCTTCTACTGTTTTCCCAGGCCATAGCAGAGAGCTGGATTGGAAGTGGAGAAGCGAGGACTCAAACAGGCACCCATAAGGGATGCCGAACTGCAGGCAGTGGTTTTACCCACTATGCCATGAATTAATGTTTTGTGTCTTTATGAGTAAATGTGTTTTTGTCTGTATGTGTATGTATTTTTAAGTAACATTTTAAATTACTATTTTAAAATTTGGTCAAATAGATTTGGGATTCCTAAAGAATTATGCTGAAATCAATAATTGCATGGGACAAAACATGTAACAATTAAATTAAATGTTGATTCCTAAAGACATTAGCACAGGTGATTCACTTTGTCTCTGTGCAAATCATATATTTTTTACTAATAACTTGCAGGGCATGGTAACTATTAGAGCCAATGAAGAGTTACTGAAAGAAGGCAGAAATTACAGAGAATTTGACCATTAAGAAAAGAGAGCCGTGATAGGTATAATCAACATTTGCAATTTTATTTTTGCTACATTGTGGGCTAAGCTGGGCCTATATTTGTATCCCAGATTCTTGCTTTTTATTTATAGAAGCGTTCCAAGTACAGTTCCTAACATGACATGCAAAATGATAACTTTTTTTACAAAGTGAGGAAAATACATGCTCACATGTGGGCTTTATTTAAGGAGTGTGGGCCAGGAAGGGTAAGGAGAGAGACATTCATACCCTACTTTCTCTGGGTCCACCTGAAGAGAGGAGAGTTTTTGCTTCATCCAGCTTTTTATGAGCTTGAAAGGGAAGTGTTTACATGTACCGCCCCCAGGTGCAGGATAAGTGAAAGTACTTCCTAGTGAAGAGTCCATCTCATTGACAAATTGGTGGATAATATTACACAGAGTCCATGTAGCTGGGGAGGTTTGGCTCCCAGCTCATGAACTTACTCTAGTTATCTGACTTACCCCACATCATTACCACTACATGAACAAGACATCACTAATTTACTGAATTGAGGAATCAAGAGTCCAGAATTGATGACTGCAAGAATGTACAGAAATAGAGGGTGAAAAATCTAAGAGGAAATTACAGAGGGTTAAGTGTACCTCTTGAATGTTTGAGTGTATCTTCTCGGGCTCCAGTACGGAAATGTCCATTATAGAGCAAGTCTCCAAGGAGCTCTTGAGAAAACAAGAGGTGGAAGATATATTGGTAGGTAGCTCACAATTGTTAGAAAAGGCGTACAATCTGATTCGAGTCAGTTTCATGAAAAAAATTGCCCAGAAAAATATTATGTCCCAATATGGGGAGTTAGGCAATCAGGAAGATAGGTCAAGTCCCTGGTCAGAGTCAAAAAGGGGCAGTGACATCAAGGTGGCATGTACCAATGCCATCTCACTAGTTCCAGTGATCAATTTCTGTTCACAACTGATCATAATGATAGGACTAAGAACCAAAGGGATCACATAAACAAGAATGGTGTCTGCAAATACTAGCTGATAGAATCAAAAAGGGAGAGAATGATCCACCATGGGAAGTGAGATACACAGCAGACCCATAGAATGGCAGATGTCCTAAACAGCACTCTGGCCTCAGAATCAGCCCTTAAGGCATGCGGATCTGGCTGAAAAGCCCATGAGAGTATTTCAGGCATGGAAAGCCAAGACATTGTGGCAAGAAAAAAAAAAAAAACCTAAATGAAAGATCTCTGTGAGTGAGATCCCAGTGGAAAGAATGGGTCATCAAAGAAGGAGGTACCTTTCTCTGAAGGGAGGAAAGAACCTCCACTTTGACCATGGCCTTGTCTAAATATGATCAGTCAGTGAACTCAAAAGGCTTCCATAGCCTTGGCAGTTCATGACAAGAGCCTAGGGTGATTACTGATGCCATAAACAGGAGTGTCAATTTGTTAAGTCAACAACAGGAGTCACTGTGCACTTACTCCTCATGTAGGATCTCTGTCCTTAGTGTGCTGTACATTGCGATTTAATGCTATAAATAGTACTCAAACAGTATTTTTCACTTTATGTTTCTGTGTGGGAGCAAACTGTTGAAATCTTTACTTAATGTATGCTAAACTGATCTTCTGTATATAAAGAGAAATGAAAATGAATCTTGATGTGAATGGAAGGGGAGAGGGAGTGGGAAAGGGGAGGGTTGCAGGTGGGAGGGATGTTATGGGGAGGAGGCCATTGTGATCCATAAGCTGTACTTTGGAAATTTATATTCATTAAATAAAAGTTAAAAAAAAAAACAAGGGGGCAGTGTCCCTTTAAGAATGGACAAGCTTGCCTTCTCTCAAAGGCTGCCTATCACAATATTTAGTTTATTCTGATCATAAGCAGGCTAGACATGTTTACCAATCCCCAACCCCTCTAGTGGGTTTTGTTGTTGCTGTGGATTTGTTCTGAGAGGAGGAGCATGGTGGGGGCAAGAGGCACAGAGTCACCACACAGACCCCGGGAGTCGGGTGAAAGCAGGCTAGAAGTGAGCAACCCGCAGACTCATTTATTTCAGTTGGTACAGCAGCTTATATAGCCAAAGCAGCCAATCCAGTCAAGGGGCAGTTTATGACCTAACCAATCACAGCCTGTTGCCAGGCAGGCTCCGTTGCCAGGTGGTTTCCCAGGTGGTTTCCAAAGCCGTTCCAGAGTAACTGATGCTCACTTGCCAGCGGCCATCTTGGCATGGCCTTCTCATTCCACAACATTTTTTTTTTGACAGGCAGAGTTACACAGTGAGAAACAGAGAGACAGAGAGAAAGGTCTTCCTTCCATTGGTTCACCCCCTAAATGACCGCTATGGCTGGCGTGCTGTGCCGATCCGAAGCCAGGAGCCAGGTGCCTCCTCCTGGTCTCCCATGTAGGGTCCAAGTACTTGGGCCATCCTCCACTGCACTCCCGGGCCACAGCAGAGAGCTGGACTGGAAGAGGAGCAACCAGGACAGAATCTGGCTCCCCAACCAGGACTAGAACTCTGGGGTGCCAGGGCCGCAGGCGGAGGATTAGTCTAGTGAGCCGTGGCACAGTCCTCATTCCAGCACATTTTATCCTTATCTCTGATTGGTTGTTATCCTAAGCATCTGATTGTTAGCTGCTGGTTTTTTGTTTTTTTTTTTTTTCTTCTTCTTCTTCTTCTTTTCTCCCCTTACTGGCTAAATCTAGATAGCCACTTTGTGTATAAAAGACCAAGCAAGCTCTGGCAAGTTTCCCAAGCAACTCCTCCCTTGGAGTTCCCCCAACCCCAACTGCTGTGGCAGGAGACTTCTCGCTTAAATAAATCTTACTTTGCTTGCTGTCATTGTCCACATGGAAGTTCTTCTATCTGAAACAAGAACCCAGATTTTCTTCATGTTCCAGTAACACTACTACTAAGTACCCTGGACCAATACTAGATGGCTTGAAAGATAGTCTCAAGGTAATGAGATCATGTAAAACAAGACACAATTTTCAGAGGAAAGTAACAAAATATAGAAATCACAAAACTGAAACTAGTATATTCAACAAAGATTATTACACATGCAAAGAAATTAGAAAATATGATACATAGTCATGAATAAGAAATCGGTAAATATTCATTGATTCAGAGAATACACAAATAGTGGACTTAGGAAATGAGAATTTTAAAATAAGTATGACAAATGTATTTTTAAAAATGCCACAGAAAGACTTTTTTATAATGAAATATTGGAAATTTCAAGAGACACACAGGAGTTCGAAAACATTAATAATTCTAGAATTGATAAAAATAACTAGAATGAAAATTTATCTAGCCATAACTGAGAATATATTGATATAATAAACAAGGTATTAGCAAATTGGAATGATACTTGATAGAGATACTTGACATAAAATGAGAAAAAAGTCTTGAAAAGAAGCATATCCAAAATTACTTGTCGAACAATGTCAAGCAATCTGGGATACATATCATTGAAATCCCAGGAGGAAATGAAACCAAGAAAGTATAAACAAAATAATGTTTTTCTATCTAGGAATCTCCATGGTTCACAAACAAGATAAACCACGAAGAACCTAGCCTACACGAACAGAAAAGCCAAACTACTAATACATAAACTTAAGGAGACAATTTAAAAAGTACCCAAAGAGAAAAAATAAAAATAATGCATGGGAAAACAGACATAAAAAGTAGAAATGGAAGTGGATGGACATCTTTAAAATGATAAATCGCTCCAAAGGAGACAGAGCAAACTTCTTCAAGATTTAAGTGGGCAGGACTATGCATAAGAGGATCCCAAAATTTCTATATTAAAAAAGAGAAAAAGTAGAGCAACTTTACAAAAGAGAAACCTGACAATCACCACCTATACCAGGTAATCAAGGTTAGTATCACTAGTGAGTAACATTCATAGCATGTGTTCTGGACACGTGAAGAGAATGGCTCTTCACCTCTCTGTTCTTCCTCAAAATACATACATGCACACACACACACATACACACACACACTATAACTGAGTTCTTTTTTTTTTTTAAGATTTTTATTTATTTGAGAGGTAGAGTTACAGACAGTGAGAGGAAGAGACAGAGAGAAAGGTCTTCCGTTGGTTCACACCCTAGATGGCTGCAATGTCCCAAGCTGTGCTGATCCAAAGCCAGGAGCCAGGTGCTTCCTCCTGATCTCCCATGCAGGTGCAGGGGCCCAAGCACTTGGAACATCCTCCAATGCCATCCCAGACTATAGCAGGGAGCTGGATTGGAAGAGGAGCAGCTGGGACTAGAACCGGTGCTCATATGGGATGCCAGCACTGCAGGCAGAGGATTAACCTACTGCACCACAGCACCAGCCCCTATAACCTAGTTCTGACCATGAAAAAAGTATCAGCCAAGCTCCGTTGAGGGGTATTCCACAAAATACCTGACCAGTAATCTATTTTTATTTTTTTACTTTTTTAAATTTATTTAACAGGTAGAGTCATAGACAGTGAGAGAGAGAGAGACAGAGATAAAGGTCTTCCTTCCGTTGGTTCACCCCCCAAACGGCTGCAATGGCCGGCGCTGTGCCGATCCGAAGCCAGGAGCCAGGTGCTTCTTCCTGGTCTCCCATGCGGGTGCAGGGGCCCAAGCACCTGGGCCACCCTCCACTGCCTTCCCAGGCCACAGCAGAGAGCTGGATTGGAAGAGGAGCAACCGGGACTAGAACCCGGGGCCCATATGGGATGCTGGCACCACTTATTTTTAAGTTTTTGTTTTCCAGATTCATCCATTTTGCTGCAAATGACCGGATTTCTTTTTTTTTAACTGCTTTGTAGTATTCATAGAGTATATATATATCCCATAATTTCTTTATCCAGTCTGCAGTCGATGGGCATTTAGATTGATTCCCTGTCTTAGCTATTGTGAATTGAGCTGCAATCAACATGGGGGGTACAGGTAACTCTTTTATTTGGTGATTTCATTTTCCTTGGGTAAATTCCCAGGAGTGGGTTGCTTGGGTCAAATGGTAGGACTATATTCAGATTTCTGAAGTAGCTCCAACTGTCATCCATAGTGGTTCTAACAATTTACATTCCCACTAATGATGGATTTTTCCCCACTTCCTCACCAGCATTTGTTTTTCGATTTCTGTATGAAAGCCATTCTAACTAGGGTGAGGTGAAACTTTATTGTGGTTTTGCTTTGCATTTCCCTGAATGTTAGTGATCCTGAGCACTTTTTTCCATGTGTCTGTTGGCCATTTGGATTTCCTTTTTTGAAAAATGTCCAAGTCCTTCGTCCATTTCTTAACTGGGTGGTTTGTTTTGTAATTGTTGAGTTTCTAGATCTCTTTATATAATCCTTTATCAGTTGCATAGTTTGCGAATGATTTCTCCCATTCTGTCAGCTGCTTCTTCACTTTCCTGACTATTTAATTTGCAGTAAAGAAGCTTCTCAATTGATATAATTCCTTTTGTTAATTTTGGCTTTTATTGCCTGTGCCTCTGGGGTCTTTTCGAGGAACTCTTCTTGTGCCAGTTTCTTGCACGGTTTCCCCAATACTCTCTAATAAGTTGATGGTATCAAGTCATTGAGTTAGGTCTTTAATCCATTTTGAATGGATTTTTCTGTAAAGTGTAAGGTAGGAGTTCTTCTTCTTACTTATGCATGTGGAAATTCAGTTTTCCCAGCACCATTTGTTGAAGAGACTGTCAGGACTCCAGGAATTGATTTTAGCTCCTTGATCAAATATAAGTTGGTTGTAGATGCATGGATTGATTT